GTGTTTGGGAAGGGTAGGTAGTAACTGACAGAATATAGCAAGGATGCAGACCTGTCCAAGGCATTAAGAAACCTATCTCTGAAGATATGACATTTTATTTAAGGTGTGATGGAGGAATAATAACTTGCTTTGACTTGAAAACAGGAGTGTGATTCATCTGGACTGGTCATAAATAAGCTACCTTTTCACCCATGGGATTTTGTTTCCTTTTTTAGCAAAATAAAAAATGGTAATGATGAGGCTTCCTCTAAAGGGGGTTGTAAAAGCATGCTAGAATAGGATTCTAGCATAAGTTTCCCATCAAGCTCCGGCTTCAGTGACAGCAGGCTCTGGGGATGGCTCCTGTGGGATCAAGCAGTCAGGCGGCCCAGGATCCATGGGCCCCAAAGCTGGGACTTGGCATAGCAGAGTGATTGGTTCTGATCTCCCAAGAAGTCCATCTACAGAAGTTTGGAGCAGCCAGGTCTATAACATAGTATTCAAGAAACTCAATTGCTTTTTTTCTCCCCTGTTTGATGTCAGAATTTTCCTGGCATGAAACACCTGGGGGAATTTCTCTCTGGACTCGACTCTGTGGGACTCCAGAACCTTCTCAAGTAGAATCTAAACTGGATCACTTTAACTTTCCTTACTCCTAAGCCTGTAACTTTCCTATTGGAGACTTCCTTCTACTCTAGCTTCTACACACATCCCCCAACCCTGGCATACATAGCACCCCTGCCATTGCCATCTTTTCCTCTTGGACTTAAAACCCTTAAAGTGACCCTATTGTTCTCTGTCACTAAATCATAGAAATTCCACTTATGATATAGTGACTGCTAGCTCTTTATTTGTTCTGCCCCCTACCGACAGGGGCCATTTGTAAACAGCACCCAAGGCAGCAGTGTGGATGTCTACTATTAGCTATTAGGGCCTTAGAATCCTGAGGAATCTCCTCATCATTTCTCCCTGCAATCATGGCCTCCGTGTGTTTGTCTTCTTTCATGGGCTATGCAATCCTTTACAGCAGGGATGGTATCTTATACCCCGTACCCCCATCAATTCTTCTAAGGCCTCATCAGTTATCTCAATGACTTTAAGTTATTGGATGAAGATGGCAAGGGCCATGATTTAGGACAAGGATATTGGGGAAACTTTCAGCTATGTTAACCCATAAAGGCAAAGCTTAAAATTAAACTCCTTGCTGAACAGGTCCTTGAGTCAACTGCAAGAACCTAACCCTTCAAAGTGCACAGGGTTATTCCAGTGCAGAAATGTGTCCCCCTTTGAATAAATTATGCCTGCCCAGCCTGTTCTCTCTTCTGTCAAATGGGGTTGTTGAGAGGAACAAAGAAAAAAGGGCCTGGAAAGCACACAGAAGCAGTCCAGATGAAGTGTGGCACTTTGTCTGCATTAGAGTCAACCCCTGAAGGAAGTTTCCAGTTCTTTCTGTCCCTTGCTGTTCGTCACATGGCCATGTGGGCTTATGGGCCTAGCACTAAATCAGCCATTTAAATTTGCACTGGAGAATTTATTCTCAACTCAGGTCAAAGGGTGACAAGAGGTTAGAAGTGGCCTTCCTGGGTCTTGGGCACCGGCCTATAGGGTCTTTCCTTTCTGATGGAGGAAGCAGTCTTCCATTTGTTTTGTTTGTTTTGTTTTGTTTCTACTTAAGTTTGTTGCAGATAGATATGGATGATAGTCAATGATTTCTCTTTCAGGGTACACCTGCTACTGCCACTGATTCAGAAGGCACTTCCGACATACAAGTCTACTGTTTAACTGACACTAATGCAGAATGGAAGTTTGTAGATCCATGACTTCTGTAATGTCTTTGATCTATGTCAGCTTTCTCGTAGGCTAGAGTTCACTTCATTCATGTAACAAAGGACCACTGGGAAGGAGAGATAAAATATATTTCAAACAGTTTCACCGATGCATTTTGGTTTATCTGTTCATCTGTTTATTGAACTAAATTTTGATGAGTGCCAGGTAATGTTCACACAGATGAATTAGACATGATGTCTCCCTGGAGTAGTTTCCAATATGATCATATAGGTATGACAAGTAACTACAGCATTATTCTCTGACTGAGGGAATATGTTACTACTAAGAACACAAAGAATCAGGCTAAAAAGCACTTACTGCGGGGAGGGAACAGAGGAAACCCTTCATGAGTGAAGTCATGAGTGTTTGTATGATGTTGGCATAGGCACAGCCATGCCAAGGATCCCAGAGCCTCAGACTCACAGAGAAAATGGCAAAGCCTTTTCCCTAAGGATGAGGCATAGAGGGAAACAGCAACGCCTTCACTTCTGGCTGGTGTTTGGATGTTGACAAAGCACAGAAAATGTCCACCATAGCTTTCTCCACCCACAGCTAAGATATTTACCTCCTGAAGTCTGCTCCTGCCAACATTGGCTAAGCCTGTCTTTTTGATCCAGCTGTACTCCATAAACCCTGCTTCTTGTTTATCTGTACATAATAACCCAGCCTCTCTGGTCAGTTCCGGTTAATAAACAAGCTGAGCTTTAATGCACTCAGGGTTTTTTTCCCAGCCAAGAACTGAGACCACCTAATCCTAGATTTCTGTCTGTCTGTCTGTCTGTCTGTCTGTCTGTCTGTCTGTCTGTGTTTTTCTTTTCTTTATTCCCTTCTTGCCCCAGTCAGGCACAAGTCCCTGGAGGCCATGCACAGACTTGGCAACTTACAATGTGCTAATTCCCTCCCATGTTCCATTCTGCTCACCCTTGCAGTCCTGTATGAGATTCTGTTATTACCCTCATCAGCATCCCATGAGGCTTCAAGTTGCCCAAGGTCTCACTGTGAGTTCATGTCAAAGGTAGGGACTAACTTCAAAGGCTGTCAAACTTCAGTGCCACTCATCTTAACCACACCCACCTCTCAAAGGCTCTTGGAGGGGCACATGCTCATACTCAATTAGACGGACACAGCAGCAATGTGGAAATTTATCAAGCACCTGCAATATGTTTTGTTTTATACTTAACTGTCTCATTTCTTTCGAGAACATACATGGCAAGCCTTGAGTTCTTCCCATTTTATAGCTGAACAGAAGCTTCATGTTAAGTGGCCACACCGCCTCACTGCTGATCAGAAGTTGAATGTGAAATGTCTCCTAGGAAGAACCTACCCCCACCCACTCCATGCTCCAGTGTTCTGAGTTTGAAATCACCCACAGGGCAAACTAGAGCACTTAGGCCAGGGATTCTCAACCTTTCTAATGCTGTGACCCTTTAATACAGTTCCTCATGTTGCAGTGCCCCCCAACCATAAAATTATTTTTGTTGCTACTTCATAACTATAATTTGCTACTGTTATGAATCATAATGGAAACATCTGATTGCAGAATATCTGATTTGTGATCCCTGTAAAAGAGTCATGTGATCTCAAAGGGGTCATGACCCGCAGGTTGAAACCACTGAATTAGGCTTTTGTTTTTTTCCTCAAACTGTGCCTTACAAGGAATGGTCTACTATACTGGGTCATGGGTTGAAGGTAGGTTTTGTGGTGATCTCAGTACTAGGTAGTGTGGCTCTTTCTACCAGCAGTTTGTATAAAGTTTCTGGTTATGATAGACCAAAAGTCAGGTGAGGGGGGCAACTTGTAGGAGTGTCTTTATATTCTCATGCTCCACCTTGCTTTATGATCCACTGTGATATTCTCTCCTAGCCATACCAGCATACTCCTTCAAAGCTCAGTTAAATACTTCTGTACAGTAGAGAGCCCATAACATCTTCAAAATGGTCCTGAGATTTTTTCAAGGCATGTTCTTCTTTTAAATTTTGTTTTTTTAAAGCCCTACTCAGGAGAATACCTGCTTTCTTTCACTGACTATTGAAATCATTCCCTTGCGTCTCTGAAAGCAGCACAAAGGACATTTGCTCTTTCTCTTCATCATATACAATAGTGCCTTTGACAGACCTATAAATCCCAATCTGCAGCCCCATGCTTGCTTGCCTTCCACTGGCCAGGCTTCTGCAGTCACTTTATTTCATGCACCCAAACTAAACAAATCCCAATTAGTTAATATTCTCTCTCTCTCTCTCTCTCTCTCTCTCTCTCTCTCTCTCTCTCTCTCTCTCTCTCTCTTCTGAATTTTGGTGAAATTGTCTAATTCTGGAGCTAACTTACTTTCTGTATTTTTCTATGCCATCAGAGTCATGAGCTGTTGAAGGGTCAGTTCCCTTGAACTGGCCTCTTCCCTTGTGTTGTGACTTTATAGTTGTACAGAGGGCAGCTCAGGACCAAATTCATGCTTCAGCGATATGGCTGGGGGAGGAGGGTGGAGCACAGGGGGATGCTATAGTGAATCTCCCTGCTAGCCCTCCATCCCTGACTGCTCAACCCAGCTTTTGGCTTCACCTAAATGATAAATAGCCCTATTGTTTGAGCTTGGACTCAGAGTTTGAAAAAAAAAAAAAAGAACTAAATCTAGATTAAGCTCAGGACAGAGACCCATTTCATTGCACTGTACTTTAATATCCCTGAGATCCATGGCATTACGGGTAGCTCCTTTGAACAGCCAGCCCCTCCAGGGCAGAACACTATGCTGTCTTTGTTTAATCTGATCTTTCAGCTAAATAGGAGATGGTCACTTATCGTCACCACTCCCGTGTCCGGCTGCGTTGCTATTACTGAGAGACGCACACACCGGGAAAGGTGGACGCTTCAGGCAGAACATTTCAGCGTGTGTTTACAGGCAGGACTGACAAACTCAGCAATCCTGCTCCCAGGAGCAGCAGCCAATGAAGAGGCTCTATCCCAGCTTGCTTGGGGGCTTCTGAGTTTGAGCTGCCTGCAGAAATGTAAGGCATTGCTTTCTGGCGCTGATGGCAAAATGGGACCCATCTCCAGTTATTCCTTGGGCTCCCCAGCTCTGCAGATCTGGGAGAGAACCTACATAAACATATTGGTGATGTAGCCAGCTTTCAAGGCCGAGAGAATCCTTATGGATTCGGGAGACTGGTTTTTCATTTAGAATTTTCTTTTTCCTTTAGAAGATGAAATGCTTCTCTCGTTACCTGCCTTACATCTTCAGACCTCCAAACACCATCCTCTCTTCCAGCTGCCACACGGAAGGTACAGACCAGAGAGGGAGAGTGTCTGGGTGGGTGGGACAAAGTGGGCTGGTGTCGGACTTCCCACAGGTTCCGCTGAGGCTGCTTTCTGCAGCTTACTAGATGACTGGCGTTCCTGGGAAAGCTGGTATCTTGACATATAGATCTGCTCTGAAAAACCAGCCTGCCTCCTCCAAGGAGAGGGAAGTATTTTCTGAAGTGCAGACTAACGTTTCAAAGGTGATCTCAAAGCTGGCAGCCGACCTGAAAATCATTCAGAAATATTTTGTCAATTTTCCCTGTGTTCCATTTACCATGCAAACAAGTCGTTGGAACTCGTGCTGAGGAAAAACAATCAGTGGATGCTGCCACACACATTTATCCTAGCTCTGTTGTGTCACTGTCTGCTTAATAACTTGGTGCATGCCCAAGAAAGCAATTAGCAAAATGGAATTAGCTTAGTCTGTGACTGGGGAGTGCTGGTTGTTAGACTGGAGTTCAGTTTGTTCTTAGGTTGCTCAGTTTTGATACTTGCTAGAAATGTGTTTTGTGGGGTTTCTAAGTTAATTGTCTGAAAGGAACATGGACTGGGTCTTGCACACAATCTCCCCAGCCCTGGCTTCTGCCCAGGACTGCTTCGGCTTCTATCCTGCCATGGCATGTATACATGGGTGTGTACTTTCTCTGTGAACATGTGTGCCATGTAAACATCTGGCAGTACCTCTTCCACTAAGCACTGCAGATCTCAGCATTTCTCCAGCAAGGAGCTGGCTGTGTTTCTTCCATGTGTGATTTGCCTGTTTCTTTAGATCTGATGTTCCCTGGAAAGTGCATTTCATGTGAAGCAACTAGCTTGGATAATCTTCAGGTTTAGGGGTTGTCCTAGAAGTGGGACTGTATTAAAGAGGACACCAATGGCGAGTCCACCTCAGTCCCACCACCGTCTTCTTGGATGGAGAAGGTGGTCAGCCTCTGCTGGGCCACCCTTATTTCTCATCCTTGCAGGGGGATTATGGGATTTCAGGTTGTGTATAGCATATGAGAGAAGCAGACTTTGGGGATGAAGTGCATTTTCAATCACTTCTCATGGGAAAAGGTTTTGGGATAACTTTAGCATTGAGACTGGGGATGGCATTTTCATAGACGTATGTTGTTTTGCATTTGTATGCGTCCCTTTAAATGCATTGATAGCTAAAAAGCAAATTACCCACAGGAATTTTTTTCCTCATTGGGAGTGGAGAGAACCTAATATATCTCTGTATGTATTCCTATAAATATTGGGGTAGGAGATAGAAGAAGGTGGCATGGATCAGAATCTCCAGAGCTTTTCACATACAGAAGACCTGATGCCATTTGGAAGGGGCCTCGATGGCTTTATATTCTGATTGGCTCCCTGATTGGCTCCCCTCTCCTCTCCTCCCTGCTTGGACTCTGAAAACCCAAATACTTGATTTCAGTTGGTGTTTTGTGCATTGATCAAAACTAAATACTTTGGTCATATAGATAGAACTGCTACCACAACAAGAATAATTTTTAAGTATTTTTAAACCAGTTTAATTTATTCTCTCAAAATGGAAACATCACTTTGTCTCAAAACAAACAATTTCTACTTCACCCCCATCGACAGACTTAACGATGGAAATCAGAATTCTTATATTTGAATTCAAAGTGAATCTAATAAAAACAGTTAGGGAGGAAAATAACATCCACCAAAATAACATCATGGATGAAGCCTTGGGACATAGTGGAAAAGGCATGAGTCAGATAACAGTCCAGCTGGTCCACTCTATTTAATTGCTCTGCACCCAATCTTTTTTGTAATACAGAAATAAGAAGCCCTCATCCAATGGAGGTTGAGAATGAAATGTAAATGTAAATGATAGGCACTGTCTGGCTTTGATTACAGTGTCTCATGTTTCCTGGGAGGTTCACATTTTCTTTATTTTGCCATATCTAAGCTCAAACAGCCTCCTCAAACATATCATAATGTCACCCAAAACAAGTAACCCTATTTAAAGTTCATCTAAGGAGTAAAGCAAGTCAGAATGAGTCTGTTTTGGCTTTCACTGATATGTGCTTCTTTTTAGTAACCTTCTTACTCTACACTTGAGCCTTTTTATTTACAGGTATGAATGTCACATTTTATTTAACTAGATAAGTGGAGAAAGAATCTTTTACTATTATAAAGTAAATACAAAGTGGCCCAACAATTTCCCTAAGAATAATTCTAAAACAACTTTAGGATGTAAAGTGGTGCTGGGCCTCTTGGGGAAAGAACACCGTACGTTGAAGTCTTGAGTTGCCTTAGTGCTGTTTTCCCACAACAGGAAGATGCTGGCTTGGGATCCTACCTCTGCTGCATGCCAGCAAGGTGATATTAGATGCTAGTGCCACTGAACCTTGGTTTTTAGAGGATGGCTTCAAATAAATACATTCAGAATACCACAGAGGGGGCTTTGATAATAGTGATGATGATGGCAAACTGGCCTTCATGTACATTGAATTTGCTGTATTCAATGCATTGTCCAAATACAAAATGATACTTCATATAGAAAGTAAATCTAGAATATGAACTTCATAACTTAGTTCTTTTTTTGTTTTGCTTTCCTTCTTTCTCTGTTATTTAACCCTTCTGATGAAGGCTTGTTTCTTCATATAGTAGTCATATTGATTTTGTTTAAAATATGGAGCCCTGAGGCTGATGAGATGGCTCAGCAATTAGGAGCTCTGGCTGTTCTTGCAAAGGGCCTGGATTCAATTCTCAGCACCCACATGGCAGCTCACAGACAACTGTAGCTCCAGTTCCAGGACATCTGACCCCCTTTTCTGGCCTCCACAGGCATCAAGCATGCAAGTGATATACACACATACATGCAGGCAACACACACACACACACACACACACACACATAATAAATACATACATACATACATTAATTAATTAATTAATTAATGCTTTTAAAGGGCGGCCCTACGGAAATGACCCTGTAGATAAAAGAAAAGTTGCCTGTAAGCCTGAAGACCTGAGTTCAAATCCTTAGCATCCATATAAAAAGTTGGACATAGCTGTGTGTAACTGTAAACCCAGCATTGGGGAATGAAGAGTTCACTGATTAGCCAGCTGACTCCAAATGGGAAGCTCTAAGGTTCAGTGAGAGATCATCTCAAGGCAGTGGAGAATTATAGAAGAAAGTGCTCCCAATACTGCTCTGGCCTCTGCATACATGTGCACCCATACATTCACATGCAAGCATCAAATTAAATAAATAAATAAATAGCTACTTTCCATCCTGTGCCTTTAAACATACCTGTATTTAAAATCCTATTTGTTCTGCTACCTTTTCATCCTCTCTGCTTGCTTGGCCTTAAGTATTCCCATGTTGACTGGTCTCTAGCCACAGAGTCCATCATTGGTCCCTCAACATTCTCCATCCAGCCATAGGCTTTTGTGGATCCACTCTGCCATCATGTACTGTTGTACCAGCCTTCAACTCCAGTTCCAGCCCAGAAGCCATCCCTGACCCTCTGTTCATAGCTATTTAAGACTGTGTTTCTTCACTTCAGAGAACATATCTAGTTTGCTATTGTGAATAAATTGTGATGACATCTTTGTTACAATGCTACTCTGAGTGACAGTGGTGTGGAAGCAAGCCCATGTGTAACTGTGCTCCCTTCTGTACCTCCAACACCAGGATAATGTCAAGTGCATAATAGACACTGGAATGGAAGAATGACATATATGAGGCTATCATGTAATGAAGTGAAAAGTCATGTGGCCGGGCATTGGTGGCGCATGCCTTTAATCCCAGCACTCGGGAGACAGAAGCAGGTGGATTTCTGAGTTCGAGGCTAGACTGGTCTCCAGAGCAAGTGCCAGGATAGATTCCAAAGCTACACAGAGAAACCCTGTCTTGAAAAAAAAAATCATGTGTATAACATTGTAAAAAGCACCCTAACATAAACACATAAACATAATACAACCTCCATGTATACACAAGTTGTCTATTCATTGCAGGTTGGGGATCTTCAGATAGACATACTTTAAGAGACAGGTTCTACTGGAATGCCATTTTTTAGAATTCATTTTTGTTTGTTTGTTTTTGTTTGTTTGAGAGTGTACCATGGTGCATATGGAATCAGGTCTCCCCTTCTACCATGTTGGTTCTGGACATGAAACAAGTTGTCAGTCTTGTAGATGTGCACCTTACCAACTGAGCCTTTGATTTAAAAGCCTTGAGATAAAAGGATATAGTCAGAAACAAGGACAGTCAAATGATGTTACTGTAGGACAATGGTTTGAGAAGTTTGTTGTACTATCTTCACTTCTATGTGACTGATCACATAAGGGATCCCTTAACTTCCTTTCCATTGATAGTAGAGGAATCACCCATTTGGAAACAATGGCTTCGAACTGGGGAGAAAACTAAATTACAGCTAAAAGAAATTGATCTAGGCAGCCTACAGGCCAAGGGGGAAGAAAACGCCACAGGAATGAGTAGGCAGTAAAGTAAAAGAAGACTTGTTGATATTTTTTGGAACCTAATTTGGGAGCAGACACTGAAAGACCTTCTTTGGTTACTAACCAATCAGCGTGGGGTTCCTTTCCTAAAAGAACAAGGGGCTGTGCCTTTCAAGTACTCTCTCTTTAGCATGAATTATTCTTGTGGCATTCTTGTGCACAAACCCCCACTCATCCTGGAAAACTGAACTAAAAGTTGTCTTTCTTTTGGAAGCCTTCTTCTTGACTTTATGAATGGAGGTGTGTGAGTCACACAAGCTAGAGTCACAGAGGAGAGAATCTCCAAGAAAGACAAGCAACTACCAAGAAGCCTGTGGACTCCAGCTGGGTGCCAGAGACTATGCCTGGAGTCTCTGGCCTGCTCCTCACCAGGGCCATCCATATTGAATACCATTATCTCCATGTTTTAAGTGGGGAATTGTCTCAGCCAAAACTTAGTAAATGCACAGAGCCAAGACCCAAGTCTAAACCCCCTGACCCTAACATTAGAGCCACTCTAGCCTT